TGATATTTTTTCCTTGCTTTTTCTTTAGTTGATTTCTCTTTAATGGCTTTATGGTCAGAAAAGATGCTTTGTAATATTTCGATGCTTTGGATTTTGTTAAGACTTGCTTTATGGCCTAATATGTGGTCTGTTCTGGAGAATGTTCCATGTGCATGGGAAAAGAAAGTATACTTGGCTGGTGTTGAGTGGAGTGTTCGGTATATGTCTATGAGATTAAGTTGGTTGATTGTAGCATTTAGCTCTTCCGTGTCTTTGTTGTTTTTTTCTGGATATTCTGCCCTTCACTAAAAGTGGTCTGTTGAACTCTCCTACTATTATTGTGGAGCTGTCTATCTTTCTTTTTAGTGTCGTTAGAGTTTGTTTTATGTATTTTGGAGCCCTGTCATTGGGTGAGTAAATATTTATAATAGTTATGTCCTTTTGGACATAATCCTTAGTGTCCTTTAATCCTTAGTGTCCTTCATTATCCTTTGTGATGGATTTTAATTTAAAGTCTATTTTGTCAGAGATTAATATCGCCACTCCTGCTCTTTTTTGAGTGTAGTTTGCTTGATATATATTTTCTCTCCTTTGAGTTTTAGTTCGTTTGTGTCTTTAAGTCTAAGTTGTGTCTCTTGTAGGCAGCATATAGACGGGTCATGTTTTTTAATCCAGTCTGCCACTCTCTGTCTCTTTATTGGTGCATTTAGTCCGGTTACATTCAGCATAATTATTGATAGATAAGAGTTTAGTGCTGTCATTTTGATGTCTTTTGTGTGTGTTGTTCAGTTTCTTTGTTCCAGTTAATTTTCTGTGCTGCGTGGTTTTTCTTTATATATTTTCTTTTCATCTTTTTCATTGTTGTTGATTTTGTGTTTGCTGAGTATTTATATTTTTCTAGTTTTTTATTTTGACTCATAGGATTGTTAGTTTCCTTTGTGATTACCTTAATATTTACTCCTATTTTCTAAGTTTAAACCAGTCTTTTATTTCTTTATATTGCCTTGACTTCTCCGTATGCAAAGTCTATGTCTATAATTTTTAAGTCCCTCTTTTTTGTTTTAATGTT